TTCTCTAGCAATTCTCTACCCAGGAAAGTCTGCCAGAGACCCTGTGTGGTGGAGGCTCAAAGCTGTGCAGGTTCAAAGGAGAAAGATTCTGCAATGTCAAGCCAGGATTTCTCTAGAAACAAGACTCAGATCCAGGCTCTTCCATTTGAGATCTTGTCCAGTGAAATTTCCTCCTCGGGTGAGGTCCGGGGTCAGCCCGAACTCTGTCACACCCAGTGTTCTTTGCCAAACCCTGCACCCAATTCAAGGGAGCAAGTGGCTTTTCAGGTATCCCCAAGAACAGACCGACCTGTGACCTCTAATGGCACTGGAACCCGAAAGAGAAGGAATGTATCTTCTCCTCTGCAAATATGTGGAGAGCAGAGGGGAAGGGAGTCATTTTGGCAAAGAGAACTATTGGAAACCAGAACATCTCTAAGGCTGCAAATAAAATCCCATGAATCTTCAGAAGAGGCCCATGAGATTGAAAGCTGTTTCTGGCCCAGGTCCCAACCCTTAAGTGCTTCACCCAGACAACCGTCCTGAGGGGAACAAAGGAGTCGCCCTTTGTCCAGGCCTGCTGGGTCAGCCTGGAGCTGGTGGCTTAAATGGATGATTGTTTTCTAAAGAGCTCTCAGCCAGAGTAAAAGGAACGAAACTGGTTCATGTTCTTTCTCTGGGAGAGTCAGCCTCTGGCGCTCTGAGCTCTTCTCCAGAGCCAGATCTGTCACCATCAGACTGTCTTGTGGGAGTGGAGTTGACAAAGAAGGATGATTTAAGCACCTGCCCTGCAGGTTCATCAGCACTGCATCTATTGTCACAGGGCACCTGGTGGCCAAGAGGATGGCCCTCGTGGCTGCCTTCCCCTCCAATGCTTGTCCAAGATATTTATCCCGCACTGTCCCCTGGCCCTGTCTGAGCTGTTCTTCTCAGATGCCCTTCCTCTGCGCGTGGAAGGCGCCCGCCCTCCTGCCAGCCTCCCTTCTCAGTGGGAATTAAATTCATATTCAGTTTCAAGTCTTTGGCAGTGAAGCGGGTTTTCCATGGTGTGTTGTAAATATTTAAAACTATTTCTGTATATTATGAGGTTTAGACATCTTAATCTTTCTGCCTGGGGAGAGACGCCCCTCTAGGGCGAGCCTTTTCTTGGAGGTAGGAAGGAACCAGTCGGCAGCTTGCCTTTCAAATGCAACTAACCAATCCAGAGCCAGACTCCGTCACCAGCCCCTGCCTCCCAGGAGGCCACAGTCCTGGGCTTTAGTCAACGCAGGGTCAGGTAGCAGGCAACGAGGGACGCCCCTAGACCTTAAAGCCCACTAAAACCATTCAACTGACCACCCTAAAAGGGTTACACTGCCCTGCCCTGCCCCAGAAACCACTGGCCTGATGCTTCCCCTGGCTCCTGTCTGCTGCTTCCTGGCCACCACAGTGACCTTCCCCTGTGGCCTGCACAGCGACTGCACCTCCTGTGTCCAGCACCTGAGAATATCATCAACAGCTTTCTCGTGCCTCCCCTGGTCTCCTGTGGCAGTCGCATCTTACTGTACATAGAAAACACAAAACATGGGGCTTGCCCCTTCCTTTCTTCCCAGAGGGTCTGTGTGGACAGAGGCCACAGGAAGGAGGGCAGGGCAGGATGGTGAGATGCCCTTTCTAGAAGGGTGACTCTGGTCAGCATTCCCACACCCAGCCCTTGGCACGGCTCCTGTGTCTACTAACAGTTCTGTCAACGTCTGTGGGACCAACATGGGGCTGTGGCTGGGTGGTGGGGCACCTACCCAGCACGTGTGAGGCTCTGGGTTCGATTCTCAGCACCACATAAATAAATAAAAAAGGCATCACGTCCATCTACAACTCAAAATATTTTTTTTTTTAAAAAGTGAATGCACAGCTGTCTTTAGAAGTGTCAGTCAACATAATAAAACCAGAGATCATCTGTGTGAGCAGAGAGGAGCAAAACCATCAGATCCCACCCCCTGGAGAAATGGGCTCAGGAAGATGAAGGATGCCCAGTCTTCAGGCCCTGGACAGGAGCTAGACACAGGGAGGCATGGTGTCGTCTTCCGGTCACGGTTCCCTATTTGACACGTTCCACGACTCCTAACCAGGCTGTGCGTCCCTTGGCTTCCTCCCTTTCTGAGTTGTCTTCTGGAGTAGCAGAATGTGTCTCACCTCCCGAGTGCCAAGCGGAGCACACCTTTGCTTCTCTGGGGATTCAGTCAGGGCTTCCTTGTGCTCTTGGGTCTTGTAGATTCATCTAAGAACACGGTCAAGCTGACTACCTACACTGTAATTGGACCTTCTCTCTTTTAGGAGCCTTACACGGGTCTCTGTTATCTCCCTCCTCCTCCTCCCTGATTTCTCAGTGTACACTGTCTTACTTTGAGTTTCTAAGACCACTTGTTCAGGCAGGTACCGGAGAAATAGCCCTACTGTGTGGAGAACCTCAACCTCAGCCACTGCAGCAAGAGTCCAAACAAACCTCTCCCCCAACAAGCAAACAAGCACAAAAAGACTTCAACAGGGGCTGGGGTTGTGGCTCAGCAGCAGAGCGCTTGCCTAGCATGTTCAAGGCCCTGAGTTCGATCCTCCACACCACATACATACATACCTACATACATAAAATAAAGGTATTGTATCCAACTACAACTAAAAAATAAATATTTAAAAAAAAAGACGTGCAAAGATTTTGCCATTAGAGTACTGCAAAATAAAACCACCACAATGAGAAGCTGCCCCATGTCTATTAGAATGGCTTAAAGAAAAAAAAAAAAAAAAAACAACTAACAATAAATAACAACTGCTGGCCAAGATGCAAAGCAACTGGAATTCTCTTGTATGACAGATGGGAACGTGAAATGGTCCAATCATTTTGAAAAATAGTTTGGCGTCCTCTCCACAGGAAAGCAAACACTGACCCTGTGATCCAAGAACCCCACTCCTAATTGGAATCAAAATCTAGATTCACAGGACAACCTCCACAGGAATGTTAATGGTGGCCGTGGCAGTCAGCTCTCTGCCAACATAACAAAAAAACAGAGTTAATCAGCTTATAAAAAGAGAAAAGGTTAATTTTGGCTCAAAGTTTTAGAAGTCCCAGTCCACGGTCAGGTGGGCCTTTGGGTAAGGCAGCCCATCATGGCTGGAGTCCATGGTGGATCAACACTCCCTCCTGCTGACAGAGAAACAAAAGAGAGAAGAGACTAGGGTCCCACAGTCCCCTTAAAACACACCCCCAAAGACCTAAAGACCTCCCACTAGTCTCCACCTCTTAAAATTTCCATCATCTAGCTGGGTGCGGTGGTGTACTTGTAATCCCAGCAGCTCAGGAGGCTGAGGCAGGAGGATCTCGAGTTCAAAACCAGCCTCAGCAAAAGTGAGGCACTAAGCAACTAAGTTAGACCCTGTCTCCAAATAAAATACAAAATAGGGCTGGGGGTGTGGCTCAGTGGTTGAGTGCCCTTGAGTTCAATCCCCAGCAACATGCCTCCTCCAAAAGAAAAATCTACCATCTTACAAGAGCTCCAATCTGAGGGCCAAGCCTTTAGCACATGGGTCTTTGGGGAACATTCTAGCTCCAAACTGTAGCAGTGGCTTTATTCAAAAGAGCCCAAAGTCAGAAACAAGACGAGTGTTCTTCACTTGGGAATGGACAAACCAACTGTGGTACGTCTGTCTATACAATGAAATATTATCCAGCAATTAAAAAAATAAAAATAAAAGAATGACTGCCACATGCTACAACCTCCATGAACCTTGGAAACACTTGCTAAATGAACGCAGCCAGGGGCTCAAAAGTCTACCTACTGTAGACATTCAGATGATGCGCCAGCAAAGGCGAACCTTTAGGGACAGGAGACAGATCAATGGTTGCCTGGGTCTCCGGGTGGAGAAGGTTGACTACAGCAAGGTGAGAGCTATAGAGAAATCCTGGTAGCTGTTCTGTATTTTAGTCGTGATGATGGTTACACTACACATTTGTCAAGCTTACTGAACTAAAATTTTTAAGAAGACTCACTAAGGTTGAATTTTATCACACATAAATTATATCTTAACCATAAAACTATGGTGCCAGAGTTCAGAGCCTGTCTTCAGGCATGCTGTCTAATTCCCATGAGGCCGTCTCTATTCAACCTTCCCTGATGGGGAATGTCACTGCTTCTCTCCCTTTCTATAGGAGCAAGGTCATCTCAAAGCCACTAAAGATAAATACAGTTTTCCTGTGGCTTCTAGCTCTGGAGGAAACTGCTATTACTGCTTAGTTAGTAGAGGTGACATTAATGTAAAAAAAAGTCAGCTCATGTAGCTGGTGAAATTCCAGTAGAAGATGCTCTGCCAGGGATGCCCTTTAAAAACAATGTCACATAATCTGTGTCACGTAGGACATGGTAGTCACTGGTCACCATAAGACATTTTACACCCATGGTGAAATAATTGGAGGCAGACCCGCCTTTCTTGTGGTTCAATGCACAAGTTTAAGCAAGTCCCAATGCTCAGGTTATCCACCATTCCTCCTGCGATCCCCCCTAGAAAATGTTCTGAGTGCTGTGGGGTCACCGTTCTTGCAAGCAATGCTTCAGATGTCATTCAGAGCCATCTGACTTTGGCTTAGGAAAGAGACAGCTGGATGTGGCTCAAAAGGCACCAGCCCCAGCGGCCCTTGTTTCTCTGATAAGCAAGGTTCCTATCAGAGCCAGCCTGGGAACGTGGTTTCTCTCCAGACCAGAAGGTCCCGGAGCCGGCCTGCCGCTGGGTGTGGAAAGAATCCTGGGGCCAGGGAGGACTAGAGTCTAGGTGCCTCTCTCTGGTCTGCCCCTGCCAAGGCAGCTGCCTGCCCCCTGCACAGAGGCCAGACGGTGCCAGGATAGTCCTCTCGCTTTTGGTTTCTCCTTGCTTTAGCTTCAGGCTTCTGCCCATTATTCTTCTCTTGTGGTTCTTTTCTGGCTCTTGATTATTTGGACCAACAGCTTTCTCCCCACCCCACCCCACCTCTCCCCTGGGTTGTTTTTGTTTTTGTTTTTGTTTTAATAGAATGCTTCACGAATTTGCATGTTATCCTTGGTGCAGGGGTCATGCTAATCTTTCCTGTGTCATTCCAATTTAAGCACTCTCTCTGTTTTTGTAGACAGCTTTATTAAAGTATAATCAAAATAAAATAAACTGCACGTTTATTTTGGGAGGTATTATGAGTATAGATTTTGTTGTTGTTGTTCTTTTTAGTTATACATGACAGTAGAGTGTATTTTGACATATCATGCACACACGGAGTGTAACTTCCCAGTCTTGTGGCTGAACATGATGGGGAGTTCCCCTGGTCGTGTATTCATAATGAACGTAGGAAAGTTGTGTCTGATTCATGCTCCTGTCTTTCATTCCCATACCCGCTCCCTGCCTCCCACTACCCGCTGTGCAATCTGGTGAACCTCCATTTCCCTCCCCGCCATTGTGAGTCAGCATCTGCATATCAGAGAGAATATTTAACCTTTGGTTTTGGGGGATTGGCTTATTTCACTTAGCATGAATCGTGACGGTCTGCAGTTCCATCCATTTACCTGAAAAAGCCATCATTTCATTCTTCTTTAAGGCTAAGTAATATTCACTCCGTTGTGTGTATGTACATTTTCTTTATCCATTCATCTGTTGAAGGGTACTTGGGTTGGTTCCATAGCTTAGCTATTATGAATTGAGTTGCTATAAACGTTGATGTGGCAGTGTCACTATAGTATGCTGATTTTAAGTCCTTTGGGTATATACCAAGGAGTGTGATAACTGGGTCAAATGGTGGTTCCGTTCTAAGTTCTCCACAGAATCTCCATACTGTTTTCCAGAGTGGTTGCACCAATTTGCAGTCCCACCAGCAATGTATAAGTGGACCTTTTCTGCTACATTGTCACCAATGTTTATTGTTACTTGTATTCTTGACAATTGCCATTCTCACTGAAGTGAGACGGAATCTCGGTGTAGTTTTAATTTGCATCTCTCTAATTGCTATAAACTGCACATTTTAAACTATACAGTTTTATAAATTTTGACGTGCATATACATTTAGCAAACCATCAGCTCCATAATCAAGATAGAGAATATATCCAGCATCCCAAAGTCTCCCATGTCCCTTGGCCATCCAGCCCTCCATCCCTTATCTGTCCCCAGTTCCTAAGAATCACTGATAGTTGTCTATCACTATATAGGTTCGTTTGTGTTTTCTAGAATTTTATATGAATGCAGTCTTATAGAATGTTTATTTATTTATTTATTGGCCTCTCTGCTTTTACTTGGAAAAATATGCTGAAATTTATCTATATGGTTGGATGTATCAAAAAAAAGTGTTTTGGATCCCAGGGATTGAACCCAGGAGTGCTTACTGAGCCACATACCCAGCCCTCTTCATGTTTTTTTTAAGTTTAGAGATAGCAACTAAGTTGCTTAGGTCCTTTCTAAGTTGTTGAGGCTGGCTTTGAATTCATGATCCTCCTGCCTCAGGCTCACCAGTCACTAGGATGACAGGCGTGTACTATTGTACCTGGCAATTCCATTTCTTTTTATTGCTGAGTACTATTCCATCATGTGCCACAATTTTTTTTTATCCTTTCATCTGTTGGTTAATAATTAAATTGTCCCAAGCTTGGGGAAGACTTGCACTTAAAGCACACAGGCTGGCACTCCTTCAGAAAACACCCAGAGCTTCTTGCTGCCAAGGCTTATGGCTCTGATGGCCCCTGTTCTGCTGCAGGGAGAGCGGCAGGAAGTCATTTGCAGAGTTAGGGAAGGGTTGGGGGAGAACTGGCATTGCATCTCCATAAGCCCACCCACTTCCTGGCCCTTCTTCCCCACCACTTCCACCCCAGCGGTCTCTCAGATAATGATCATCTCTTGACAAGAGCTAGGAAGAGAGGGGACCAGACGAGGACGGGAGGAATGGGACCATTCAGTGGTGACACCATTTTCTTTGCATCTTGCACTATTCACCCTTGAGAAGAAGCCACATGCCTGCAGAGGTAGCTCACTGACAGTATTTATAAACTGTCCTTGGAATATGCTTTTAAGAGGCAAATTTAGAGCAGGGAGCAGTGGTGCACATCTGTAACCCCAGCGGCTCAGGAGGCTGAGGCAGGAGGATTGAGAGTTCAAAACCAGCCTCAGCAATTTAGCAAGGCCCTAAGCAACTCAGGGAGACCCTGTCTCTAGAAGAATATAGAAAAGGGATGGGGATATGGTCAGTGGTTAAGCACCCTTGGGGTTAATCCCCAGTAGCAAAAAAGAAAGAAAGAAAGGAAGAAAGAAAGAAAGAAAGAAAGAAAGAAAGAAAGAAAGAAAGAAAGAAAGAAAGAAAGAAAGAAAGAAAGAAAGAAAGAAAGAAAGAGGCAGATGTAGAATGCTCGGACAGTGCTTCTTAAACTTTGATGTGATTCAAATCATGAGAGGGTCATGTAAAATGCAGATTCTGATTCAATAGAAGAGGCGGAGGCCTGAGAGTCTGCATTCCTAGCAAACTCCCAGATGATTTGATGCTGTTGGTCTTCTATAACACTCTTCAAGGGGCCCATCACATGTGTCAATCATTTCATAATTGCTTTTTTTTTTTTTTTGTATCTGGAGTACTTAAACACTAAGCCACATCCCCAACCCATTTTTGTACTTTATTTAAAGACAGGGCCTGACTGAGTTACTTAAGACCTCACTAAACTGCTGAAGCTGGCTCTGAACTGGCAATCCTCCTGCCTCAGCCTCCTGAGCTCCTGGGATGACAGGCGTGTGCCCCTGCTTCTGGATCATAATTGCTTTTTAACAAGAGTTTAACCACTACCTATAAAATTCTACCAAGTACAGACTAATGCAAGCCTTCCTCTCTCCTGGAGAGCCCCTGCAGCTATTCCAAACCAACCAGGGATAACACAGTGCTCCTCTGAAGCCCAGAGCTGGCACTAGAGCTGCATGGTGTCAGATTTTAGTGTGTCAAGAACACTACCTCCACCAGGTGAAATGTCTACTGCTTCTCTTGTTTTCTACCTTATACTTTGGTTCCAGGAATATTGTGCTCTAGAACTAGGACTCCAGAGCTCGAGACTCCATGGTTCTGAGAACTCCAACCAGCAATATGATCATTTAACTGAAAAATGGACATAAAGCACAGAAAACGAAAGCAGCTGTGTAAAGCAACCAGTTAGTTGGACACCAGATGGAAGGGAAGGGAAACATGAGTACTGTAAGAAAGAGCGGAGAATTCCTAATGGTATGACCAAGGTTGGTGCTACCAGGGGCCAAGGAGTGAATGGCAAATCTGAGGTGGGCTGTAGTTTACAACTTAGATGCTAAAGAAGAAAATACTTCCAAAGAAGCCTCACTTGGTTCACTGTCCTCACTCAATGCCCTCCCTCATCCTTCCTTTCATTAGGAGACAAGGCAAAAGAACAGTCAGCCATGGATGACTAAGGATGGGGTCAGGAAGATGGGGCTGATTCAAAGGAAATAAAATGCAAATACCTCCAGAGCACTTCCCCCTCCTCCATCCTGTTGCCAAGGTTACCTGCCTCCAGGGAATTGTTCCTCTCAACAAGGAGGTGTTAATGAGCCCCCTGGACAACTCTCTTCTTGCCCTTTAGTCACTTTTGGTCACCTAGGAAAGATAAGAGAAGGAGAAGGCATAAGAAAGGAAATTTGAAATCTATAAAAGGGCCAGGACATACCCACTCCCTCAGGCACCAGCTTTGGACCTCCTCCTCTCTGAAGCGCTCTCTCTCTGGTCTCTAATATATATCTCTCTCTCTCTATCTCTATCTCTGTTCTATCCTTTAAATAAAATATTTTGCTCTTGCCTCCGTGTTTCTCGGGTGTTCGGTCTTCAATACCAGGGGAACAGGAGCCAATCCTGATTTTCAAGAACTGGTGTCCATCACCCGTGACAACTCCTGTGATGGAGGAAAGGCGGCGCTCACTGGGCTCATTCTTGACGCTGTGTGCACCGTTCACCTAGAGCCTCACTCCAGTACCATCTTTTTTCCCACAGGGACCGTCACGGAGCTGTCAAGGGTGGACATGAGCTGGTAATGGCTTCTGTGGAAATCACAGATTTCTGGCTGTAAAGTTGTGATAACGTCATTCATTCGATCATGCAAATGAAAGTTTATCTCTTATCATCTGTCAGGTACTGTCAGGACACAGTCTACCAGGACACAGTCCCTTCCCTTGAGGGAGGACAAGACATAAGCTGATATGTCCCCTCATTCACATTGGGAACTACAAACGAACTGTTTTAGGAGATCAGAGAAGAGAAGGGTCGCTGCTAACCACCGCAGAAGGTGGCCAGCAGCAGGTGGTGCTAATGACATCCGAGTGGCAGCTGCGGGGGGAGAAGGTAATCCCAGTGAAAGAGATGACCCGACAGACACCAGGGAGGGAGTACCCAATGTGTCTTTGAAAAAGGAAGTTGCTCAGTGACCCTGACTGAAGGAATGAACAGGAGAGGTAAAGGCGTGGTGGGTGGGGTGGGGTGGTGCCAGAGGCCTGCCTTGACCCTGGTACTATTTGAACTAGGTTTGTAGTTAACTCAGGGCTCTGAATTGACAGAATCAAGATAGAGCTAGGCACAGTGGCTCACGCCTATAACCCATCAACTCAAGAAGCTGAATTGGAGGATCTCGAGTTCAAGGCTACCTTCAGCCTCTTGGCAGGAACCTGTCTCAAAATTAAAAACAATAAAAAATAAAAAGGGCTGGGGAGGTAGCTCGGTGGCAGAGAACCCCTGGGTTCAATCCCCAGTATCACCAAAGAAAGAAAAAAAGATCTAAGATGGTATTTTAAGGCTGATTCAGTTACAATGTGCTTTGAAGGAACAGAAAGGGCAAGTTCCAAGGTAGGGAGAACAGCCGCTAGGAGGCCACTGTGTCAATCTGGGTGTGACAGCCTGAGCCAAGGTAGGGTTTCCAGGAACAGGAAAGGGAACTGGGTGAGGGAGCAGGGAAGGAAGACTCCCAGGACGGGGTGACTGTACCTTAGGGGTGATAGGAAGACAGCAGAGGCTGGGCCTCCATTGGAGACTTCCTGGAAGAACGAATGACAGTTCCCAGCCATGAGCTTGGCTTTGGTTAAGCTGAGCCACTTCTGTGAAAATGTCGGCAGCCGCTCTTCA